TACTAAGTAGGCAGTCATACTAATTTATGACAACAATCTTCAGACTACATCCCTCAAGTGGACTGTGTGATGTTTAGTTTCAGAGCTGATTATCCATATTCAGAAACAATGGCGCACCAACAGCTCCGTTTCCTGTTGTTGGCCTTTTGTTTTTGGTAGCACTCCTCATGTAAAAGTAACAACTTGTGTGGAGTTTTCTTGTTAACCAATAAACAAAACATGTAGAATGAAGTGCTCATGTACCGTAACCTAAAAATGGTACTAAATGCATCTATTCTCAACAATATAAATAGTTAACGTTGCTGAATTGTTTGCAACTGATTTCTCTCTCCATCTCTTCTCCGGCCCATGTTTCTGGCTCCAGTTTTATTACGTGGACATTGGGATTTTAAGTTTTTGATAACGATTGACATTTCCTGTATATTATCACCAAGGAGCTTGAGAAATTATCTCTGAAACAAGTTGAAAGTGAACAAAAAACAGACTTTGCTTAGAAAATGGCCTATTCAGCTCCTGTATAGCTCAAGGTTGTAAGATAACACTTTGCATGGAAAGTAACCACCAATTCATTAGTTTCTGAATAATGGTTGCAAATTGAAGCTTGATTTACTAAAATCTCAATAATATAAATTGGAGTACTTATACCAAAAGTGATTTTTTTAAATATATATTTTATTGATGTTTTACAAAGAGGAAGAGAGAGGGATAGAGAGTTAGAAACATCGATGAGAGAATCATCGATCAACTGCCTCTTGCACACCCCCTACTGGTGATGTGCCTGCAACCCAGGTACATGCCCTTGACTGGAGTCGAACCTGGGACCCTTCAGTCCCCAGGCCGATGCTCTATCCACTGAGCCAAACCAGTTTCTGCCTAAAAGTGATTTTAACAGTACATTAAAATTTAGAGATACTTTATTTAAAAAGAAATTTAGTGATACTTTAAAATTATTTGTAAAGGCTCTTGCTTTTTAATAAAGTAGCTACATTTAAAAAAAATTTCTTGGGGGAGATAAGAGATCAACTGAAGGACTTGTATACCTGCATATAAGTACAACCAATGGACACAAAACTCTGGGGAGGGAGGGCATATATGGGAGAGGGAGGGGGCAATGGTAAGATATGTACACAGATAATAATTTAATAAATAAAAAATAAAGTCAATAGACAATAAATAAATAAAATAAAATAAATTCTTTATTGATTAAGGTATTACACATTTGTCCTCAGCCTCCCATTCCAATCCTACACCCCTCCCCACTCATGCCCCCACACCCCTATTGTCCTTGACCACTGGTTACGCTCAAATGTATGCACACAAGTCCTTTGGTTGATCTCTTCCTTTTATCCCCACCCTCCCTCTGAGGTCCAACAGTCTGACCCATGGCTCATCTCTGGTCCTGTTCTTGTTCATCAGTCTATGTTGTTCATCATTTCCCCTAGATGAGTGAGATCATGTCCTACTGGAAATATAAGAATTGAAAATGAGACAAGCTGAAAGGTTATGCTGAAAGACAAATGAATCAGTCTGGAGTGAATTTCTTTCTGGGCCAACTGTTCTTCTGAGACCCAATTTCAATGTCAAACAGTTCCTTATGTGTATATGTCAGCAATGATATTTCAGTTTTGGATGGTGGACAAATGGTGGTAATGCAGGTCTTACCCTCTCTGGTTTTGGTCCTGGGCAACCTGCAGTGACACACAGCTGCTGACTGATAAAGGAGCTACATCTATAATTCAATGCAAATATGCCCTAGCCTGTGTGATTCAGTTATTTGGGCCACTTCCCGTGCACTGAAGGGTTGCCCATTGATTCAGAGCGCATGCTCAGGTTGCAGGCTCAATCCCCAGTAGGAAGCATGCAGGAGGCAGCTGATTGATGATCTCTCTCTCTCTCAAAAAAAAAAAAAAAAAAAAAAAATCAATAAAAAAATGCAATGATCCTTTTTGCTATTTTTGCGTGGGCTGCTCCAATGAGTAAAGGTACATTGATGTCTCTGTAATATTTCTCAATGTTAGTAGTTATTTGGGTATCGACCCTACTCCCAGTTCCAGGGGTGACCCTTAATTTGTCTAATGCAGTCACTATATTTAATCCCAGGGATGGGCTAATTACTCAAGTTAGACGACTCAGACTGAAGTGGGAACCTTATGTTGACAATCATGAGCAGCTATGTCCCCCTCACTGCATGGTGTGGTATGCAGCCACTTTGGCAGAATCTGCTTTAGGTTTAGTCAACATGTGTAGGGCAGAGCTGAGAATCATAACAGGAAAACTAATCCAACTGTGCCTAAGCCAAATTTGATTCTGGACTCTGGAGTTAGGTGAGCCAAACACTCTTATTGTTTAAGCAACTGGTTGTGTGTTACTTTTGTTGTTATATGCATTTTCCATCACACCAGATGTCTTAAAAATTTATTAAAAAAAATATATATTTTATTGATTTTTTACAGAGAGGGAGAGAAAAAGGGAGAGCTAGAAACATCGATGAGAGAGAAATATCGATCAGTTGCCTCCTGCACACCCCCTAACAGGGATGTGCCTGCAATCAAGGTACATGCCCTTGACTGGAATCGAACCTGGGACCTTTCAGTCCGCAGACCGATGCTCTATCCAGTGAGCCAAACTGGTTTCAGCTTAAAATTTTTTTTTTTTATCTTGTCCTGGCTGGTTTGGCTCAGTGGATAGAGTATCATCAGCATGCAGACTGAAGGGTCCCAGGTTTGATTTTAGTCAAAGCCACGTACCTTGGTTGCAGGCACACCCCCAGTGGGAGGTGTGCAGGAGGCAGCTGATCGATGTTTCTAACTCTTTATCCCTCTCCCTCTCTGTAAAAAAAAAAATCAGTAAGATATATTAATTTTTTTTTTTTTTTTTAAATCTTCATTGTTGAAAGTATTATAGCTGTCTCCTTTGTTTTCATACCAAGATGTCTTAATTGATCAGGTTACAAATGTCAACTTAAATATGGATAATTATATTCTAGTCTTGGAATGAAAAATGCCAATATGTTTCACAGTGACTTCAATTACTCCTCTTTCATGTCAGAACCTTAACTATTCAATCTTGTCTGTCAGAGAAAACTCAACAAGCTTGTGAGTGTTCCTGAGGGACTCGGTATAGTGTTGGGTTTTGCCGAAGGCTGTGGCAGTACAGATTTTGGTTGCTTGTTGGAGGTAACCAGATTTTTTTAAAAGGGCACAGAAATGGAGGTCAGCTGGAGCTATCTGAAACTGGGTGCCTGCTTTTACTTAAAGGGATATAAAATGAGACCAAAACGCTCATGTATCATTAACTGAGAAAGTGTTTGGTTACTAATGGTACCTGGTTTCCTCAGCTTGCCAAAGACCATCTCATTGCTAAATCTAAGGGGGAACTTATAGGCTTTGCTTTCCTTGACTTCTTGGCAGCATGTGAAGGCAAATTCTGAGTTTTACTTCTGTGCTTCATTCAGTGATCTCTTCTTCTGCCATTTTAAAATCTGATGTTTCCTCGATTTGTCTTGGGTCTTTTGCTCACTCTTTATTTGCCACAGGTCATCTCATCTGCTTTCACCCAGCCATCACCCCCAAATCTCTTAACAGAATGCACTTAGAAACCTTAAATACTTCAACATTTCTGCTGTTTAAGACACTAATTCCGCATTCCATTAGGATGATCCAAAAGGTTCCTGCAAGGTCTACCCTCATACCTATTAAAGTCATTTCTTGCCACTCCCCACATTCTACTTGACACTCAAATCTGAGTCTCAGCTCTTGAAGGTTCTAAAGTTCTTGCTTTCTGCCTCTGGCCTGCACACATTGCTACAGTCTCTGCCAGTAGAAGTTAATTGCTTCCCCATTATGCTTTTTCTGGTTAGTCCTCCTTTAAAATTCCAGCCTAATGCCAGGCACTTCCTTTAGTAAGCTCACCTGGGTATCTCCACTCTGGGGTAAGCGTTTTTCTCCAGTTCCCCAGCACACTTTATTTCTCCCTTTATAGCAACAGGCTTTGGTTCTTGTTAACTAAGTTCTGCAAGGACAGTGGTCATGTCTCTCTTGCTCAGAATATCTTCAGAGAGAAAAACTGGGTCTGGTTCAGTAAAGGCACTTGGTGAGTTTTTGAAAGACTATATATCCTGTGCTAGACTCTGTCTCAAATAAGTTATTTGATTTTCCTGAAAATCTCTTATGGTGTGGCTTGGTTAATGTTTCAAAGGGAACAAAATGTTACAAAAATACTGTATTAAATTATGTTTTTACTAGTGGACTATCAAAAGGAGATCCTCAAATAACACTGCTTTATTCAATGCTATTTCATTATAACTTGATGAGATGCTCTATGAACTTAACTCGTTTATATAAATTATCCTATGGTAAAAGTGGTTTCCCTGGAGTTATAAGGACCTTCAGTAAGGACTTAATGTACAGGCAAATTGAGAAGTAGCTCCGATAATCAGTATGCCAAGTGAAATGCTGAAATTCTTTGACTAATTTAGAAAGACAAGACACTTGAAGAAGTAGAAGTGTGGCTCAGTCGGTTGAGTGCTGTCCCATGCACTGCAAAGTCGTGGGTTTGATTCGGTCAGGGCACACAACCAGGTTGTGTGTTTAATCCTGGGTTGGGGTGTGTCTGGGAGGTACCGATTGATGTTTCTGTCTCTCTAAAAGTAAATAAAAGCATAGTAAAAAAAAAAAAAAAGAAAGATTGCCGAAACCGGTTTGGCTCAGTGGTAGAGCGATGGTCTGCGGACTGAAAGGACCCAGGTTCGATTCCGGTCAAGGGCATGTACATTGGTTGCGGGCACATCCCTGGTAGAGGGTGTGCAAGAGGCAGTTGGTCGATGTTTCTCTCTCATCGACATTTCTAGCTCTCTCTCTCCCTCCCTTCCTCTCTGTAAAAAATCAATAAAATATATTTTAAAAAAAAAAGAAAGATTATATTTCTTTTCCTCAATTCTAGGATATTAAAGGATACTAGAAAAATATTGTACCCTCTCCCACAAAATAATGAAAGACCAATTTCATTTTAAGGACTTTTATTATAGGATGTTAATATATTCAGGACACTTCAGAGCACCTTATACTTCTAATCAGATTTTTGGTAACTGTTTTTAAAATGTTACTTGAGTATTTTCTCACACTGGCTTTCAAGCAAAAGTACTACTTATGATTGTTTAAGAGACGTTAATTTGATTAAACAGTTTATCCTTAATAACCTGAGACATCAATCCATGGATAGCTTCTATGGTCGTTTTACAGCTGGAAAGAAAAAACACATTACGTAATGTCACAAGACCTGAAAAGTGGCTCAACTATACCAGCTCCCTCCCATTCCATTGCTGAACCCCCAATAATGACTTTCAGTCCTATTCAGACTCCCTTAAACATACCAATTTTTCTCATTATTTTTAACCTCCTGCATGTCTTTTGACCACTTCACTACTTATGAGCACCTTCACAAGGAATAATAAAGTGAAATTTGATAGAATTCGTAACAGTTAATTTTCTTATGTGTCAGCAGCTTTAGGAAAAGTTTTGTTTTAGAAGGTGACTAACTTATATATAATTCATAAATATATAGATTTCAATATTACATTAAACTCTATCATTCTTTTCCTTGTTTATTAGAATAATTTAAAAAATGACTTTAAAGAATCCTATGCTTTTTCCCCTGAAATAAACACAAATATCCTTCAAAGAATTAAAAGTCAAAGTTAGTTAAGTGGGTAAAGGACTTAGATTTTAGAATTGATCTATAATAATAAAAGCATAATCTGTTAATTAGGTAAGATGAAGCCAGGGCTGTAGCCATCACGGTTGTGAGGGAGGGATCTATCAAGGCAGCCATGCAGCTGTGAGGGAGGGGGTGAGGCAGCCACCTAATCCTAACTGTAACCATAACCATAACTCTAACCCTAACTCTTGCATGAATTTCGTGCCTTGGGCCTATAGTAAAAAATAAAAAGCAATTACCTTCCCTGAAAACTATAACAATCCACCAATATTCAGAGGAGATGCAATTTTTAGAAAGTTACCCAAAACAGGAAAATCCTCTACTTTTATACATCTACTTTTGTCCTTTCTACTTTCCTTTTTATGTAAGTAAAGGCTTTCCCATAATGAAGTTTTTTGCTTCATAAGAAATTGAGATGTAAATGTAGCTAAAATTACAAATCACAGACTTATAGAGACATATGAGGAAAACAGACTTAGAGCAGTGGTGGACAAACTGCGGCTCTTGAGCCACATGTGGCTCTTTGGCCACTTGAGTGTGGTTCTTCCACAGAATACCACGTGCGGGTGCACACGTACAGTGCGATTGAAACTTCATGGCCCATGTGCAGAGGTCAGTTTTCGGCTCACAAAAGAAATTTCAATCATTGTATTGTTGATATTTGGCTCTGATAACTAATGAGTTTGCTGACCACTGACTTAGAGCAAATACCAAAACTGATACCTAATGTCAAAGGAAAATGTAATTATTTTCCAGGCTATTAGCTCTATCTATCTGAAAACCCATGAAAAAAGAAAGGAGTGAGGTAATTTTAACCCAATGGGGCTTCTTTTTCTAATATACATTGTCTTCCCTTCTCCCTTATCCTTTACACCGAAAAATCCAGTTTTTCTTAAAATGGACACCAAGGTTTTGGTTATACAGATGTCAACATGCTTTGCCCTTCCTTTCTGCCCCTAATTATCATATTAAAACTTAAAATTTTGTTAAAGTAAATGTTATTTAGGTAGTTTCAATCTTGTATGCATCAGCAGCGCCAAATAATTCTTTCCTAAATTATCAGAGAACATATCCCAAGTTTGTTTCTAACAAATCTTGGCAGTGAAATTTGGGATACTAAACAAAAGATTATTTCAGAAAAATAACAAGGGAGTACTATGCTACTTAGGGCTTTAAAACTTTATAAAAAATTAAAATTTAATAAATCTTACTTTAATTCCTAGAAAATAGTTACGTTAGAATGGATTAGGACATGCTTATGCAAATTTTTTTTTTTTTTTTTAAGATTTAATGATTGGTACTAGCTGGTTTGGATCAGAGGATAGAGTGTTGGCCTGTGGCCTGAAGGGTCCTGGGTTTGATTCCGGTCAAGGGCATATACCCAAGTTTCAGGCTCTATCCCCAGTAGGGGGTGTGCAAAAGGCAGCTGATCATGATTCTCTCTCATTATTGATGTTTCTTTCTCTCCCTCTCCCTCCCTCTCTGAATTCAATAAAAATATATTTTTAAAAAATTCACAATAAACTATAGAGAAAACAGTACAGATGCTTCATTAAAAAAAAATTCAGTGAGTAATTCTAAGTTATAAGTAAGTGAAACCATGAAGAATTTGAAACCTATTATTATTTGCAAATCTGGAAATAAAAAGAGGGACAAGAACAGATTTGCTTTTACCTGTCTCGAGTAGCTTTGGCAAGTTTGTCTTCTGACTTCCGGTCGTGTGTTTCCAGACCCAACATGAAACTCCCTCGTCCCAGCTGAGCTTCTGACTGTTCTAATTTTTCAGACAAATCAAAGACCTGGCCGGTGGTATAGTCTGCATTCTGTGGGGAAAATGACATTGTTTCAGTGTATAATACAAGTCTACCATTAGATAATTTTAACGTAAAATAACTCTCTTCAATATAGAACATTTCATTTACAAAGAATTCCACTATGAGGCAGCTCTCTAAGCAGCCCACTGGAAATTTCTCTTCGAGTGTACTTTCTCTTTACTTGCCCAAATAAATCTTCTCTAGTGAAAAACAAAAACAAAACAAAACAAACAAAGAATTCCACTATGAAAATAGAAGTGGATAGTCAGTGAATTATTTGTTATAATAGGCTTTCACAGATCTGAGCCCTGGTTCTGGTTCTGCTGCAGATTAGTTGTGAGGTCTTGAGAGAGTGGCTTTACTTTTCTATGCCTTTAGGTCTTCTTCTGAAAATGGGGGAAGAAGGTGATAATTGCGACCTTAAGGCTATTGTGAAGGTTAAATTCAGTAACATACATAAAGATCTTAGGATGGTCTATGGTACCTGGCCAAGCTTTAATAACTGTTAGAAATTTGGGAAATGTAGAGCAATACAAAGAAGACAAGAAACACATATAATCCCTCCACCTCACTCTAACCAGAGTTATATTTTAAAGCAGCAGTCACCAACCTTTCAGACCTCACAGATCACCAGTGGTCCACGGACCACCTGTTGGCGACCGCTATTTTAGAGTACTGCTATATTCTCACAATGCACAGCTATAGTTGGTAAGCTGGAATGTATACAGGGTGGGGCAAAGAAGCTTTAATTGTTCACATGGAAAAAGAATGGCAGGTTATGCCCCCGCCAGTGTGGCTCGGTAGATAAGAGTGTCAGCCTATGTATAGAAGGGGCTGGGTTTGATTCCGGTCAAGGGCACAGGCCTGGGCTGCGGGCCTGATCCCCAGTGGGGGCTGCAGGAAGCAGCCGATCAATGATGTCTGTCTCATTGATGTCGATCTTTCTCTCTCTCTCCCTCTCTGAAATCAATAAAAATATGTTAAAAAAAAAAGAATTGCAGGTGCTCGCTTCGGCAGCACATATACTAAAATTGGAACGATACAGAGAAGATTAGCATGGCCCCTGCGCAAGGATGACACGCAAATTCGTGAAGCATTCCATATTTTTAAAATAAATTAAAAGAAAAAAAAAAAAAGAATTGCAGGTTATGATTATAACAATAACAAATAAACTGTTTAGTGTTTTCACAACCGTAAACCTACTTTGCTTTGCCCATCCCTGTATAAAACATTTTGCCCAATTTCAGACTTTTCAAAAAAAAAAAAAAATTATATATATATATATGCTTAACTGCAATATTTTTAAAGATTTTTATGGGACATCTTTTAGAAAAAATGTCTAAAATAAAAAACAAAATTTCATGAAGATGAGTTAAGAAGTATATAGCCCATTTCTTTTCTATATTTTCAATAGAAGAGCATGAAGATTTAATAAACTTGGCAGCAATTAGCGTGTTATCCTGTTTGCTCAGTTTATAAGACAGTGTATAGAAAATACAGTTCAATCACCAAACATGAAAAGTTATTTGCTGCTATCATCCTATCTAATTAAAGAGTAATATGCAAATTAACCATCTCTCCGCTTCACCCACCAGCCACGCCCACCAGCCAATAAGAGCGAGTATGCAAATAAACCCAACCAAGACCAGAAGGGAGGCTTGGGTTTCCCTGGCAACAGAGGAAGCTGAGCTTTCCACACACTCTGGCAGGCCCAGGCCTTCACTCAAGGATACAAAATTTCAATTATAGAAATGGGGGCAGCCATTTGATGGAGCAGGAGGCTTGGCTCTGCTCCAGGCTACAAAGATTCAATTGTAGAAGGTAAATAAATTCCAGATCCCAGGGCCTCTGCTTTTGTCACCAAGTAGTGTGGCTGGCCTGCAAACCACCACAGGCTGCCCCACACCCCAAGGGAATCCCCACCCTGATCTGGGGCATTCTTCAGGGCAAACCAGCTGGCCCCCACCCATTCACCAGGCCTCTATCCTATCTAATAAAAGAGTAATATCCAGATTGACCATCACTCCAAAACACAAGATCAACATTGCTGCCCTCATGTGGTCGAAGATCCTGCCCCAGTGTGGACACAAGATGGCCACCACAATATTGCCAGCAGGGGAGGGCAGTTGGGAGGCACCAGGCCTGCAAGGGAGGGGACCAGGCCTGCAAGTGAGGGCAATTGGAGGCAATCAACCCTGCAGGGGAGGGCAGTTAGGGGTGACCAGGTTGGCAGAGGAGGGAAATTGGGGGCAAACAGGCTGGCAGGGGGGCAGTTAGACATCAATCAGGCTGGCATGGGAGTGGTTAGGAGGTGATCAGGCTGGCAGGAAGAAGTGGTTAGGGGCAAACAGGAAGGCAGGCAGGCAAGCAGTTGGGAGCCAGCAGTCCTGGATTGTGAGAGGGATCCCAGATTGGAGAGGGTGCAAGCTGGGATGAGGGACACCCTGCCCGAATTTCATGCACAGGGCCTCTTAGAAGTTACTATAAAAGGCCCTTTAAAATGCTACCAATACTTCAATTTTACAAACTTACATTTTTAAGGAAGCAATTTACTTTGCCTGGATTTAAATGGTTTAGGACACCATCACCGTTACCACTGTCCCCTGCCTCAAGTTTGGAGAAAACCCTCAAGTTTATAGATCACTTCATATTTGGAAGATTAAAGCCATGAAAGTGTAGGAAGGCAGAAACAGTTATAGTATTAAAATGAAATAAAATGACATCAATTACATTTTAGACACACACAGAATAATTTCTTAAGAGGACTACTTTCTTAAATCAGAAAATTATTTTTTCTGGTAATTTTTAGATTACATGCTTTAGCTGGGGAAATAAGATGAGTTGAACATATATTTATATATTTTTTTCTTAAAATGCTGCAATGTACTATATATAAAAACTACAAGGAAGGAAGAAATATAATTTAACCTCTTCTTGATTATTAATGCTTTCAATATATGCAGTGCTGTAATACAGGGACAGCCAAAGGCTGAGTAAGTAAGTCTGCCTTTATATACAGAGGTTCCGGCTGCCATGGTCTACATGCTTTCTCCCTTGTTACCATGTGTCACTTCTGGCTGCTAGGAGTACACTTGCCTCTAAGGAAACAACTCATATAAAGCATTTAGCAGCGTTTAGCGTATAGGAAGCTCTTAATAAAAGTTTGCTGTTATGGTCACTCTCCTTCCTTTTAATATGCTACTTCTGACTGTTAAGGATAAAAAATAAGAAAGAAAACTTGCCAGAACTGTGTTCCAAGTTATAGTAAATATGCTCAAGTGGGGTCTTTCCCCCTGAATACAATGAACCAAATAACAACAACAAAAATAACTTGTTGGGGCTTGATTATATGCCAGGCACTTTGCTAACTGCTTTATATAAAGTATTTAATTAAATCTCAATGTACTTAATGATGTGGGTACTAAGATCATTGAACCTAAGAAAGGCTCGGTCACATTAAGTAACTTTCTGAAGGGCAAACATGGCTAAAGTGGCAGTTGTTTGAAATGAGTTAATTTTATTCCAAATTTTGTGATTCTAAATATAATGCTAAATTATACTATAGTAAGTGGCCATTTTTTTTTTTCTTTAAGTGAAAAACAAAATAAAACAAAAAACAAGCTGTAACTGTTCCTGGCTAAGCTATAGCTAGCATAGGTAGATGCTTGTTAAATAAATATCCTTCTTGCCCTAGCCAGTTTGGCTCGGTGGATGGAGTGTCGGTCTGTGGACTAAAGGGTTCCAGGTTTGATTCCAGCCATGGGCACATGCCTGGGTTACAGGCTCGATCCCCAGTGGAGGCAGCCAATCAATGATTCTCTCTCATCATTGATGTTTTTCTATATCCTCCTCTCTTCTTCTCCAAAATCAATAAAAATACAGTTGGAAATAAATAAATAAATAAATAAATAAATAAATATTCTTCTAAGTATACTAGGTTTTAATGATAATATTGAAAAATATTCAGCAACTTTTTTGCCTAACATCTGCTGCTTTAAGGTAATGATATTCTGATTCCCTTCTGGGACAGCCCTTTCCCCATTCTTAGTCCATGTGCTCCTAGAACAGTTTCTTCTACCCCAGCCCACTAGTAAATCACTTGCATTGGCCCAGATCTGTCACATGGACATGTGACTTAAGCAAAGCCCACACACAAAGTCCTGGGGGAGAGAGGGAGAGAGACAGAGGGAGATAGGAAGAGAGAGGAGGGAGCGAGAGGGTGTGTGTATCTCAATCTTCTCTCTCTTTTTTTTTTTAATATATTTTATTGATTTTGTACAGAAAGGAACAGAGAGAGAGAGAGTTAGAAACATCGATGAGAGAGAGTCATCGATCAGCCGCCTCCTGCACACCCCCCACCGGGGACATGCCCGCAACCAAGGTACATGCCCTTGACCGGAATTGAACCCAGGTCCCTTCAGTCCCCAAGCCGAAGCTCTATCCTTTGAGCCAAACCGGTTTCGGCATCAATCTTCTCTTTTTAATGTAAAACTGAGAGGCTAGGAGGTCTGAGGCTAATGCTGCCATCTTGCTTTCACATGAAGCCTGAAACTGAAGCAAACTGACATGAAATCAAAGCCGAGAAAGAAGGACCAAGATCTCATAATACTGTTTGAAATGCAAACTTAGCTGAAGCTGAACCATTCCTTACTCCTCAACTTTGCAGCTCACATGATTCTCTTTCTTGTGTAAGCTAGTTTGGCTGGGTCTTCTGTCACGTGTACCTTGAGTCCTACTGAAATACCCAATAGAAAAACAGTATTTTTTCTCTATGTCTCTTTAAGGTAGGGACAGATCTGACCCTCATCTGGGTACTGTATTTGCCATTTGGACTTGGTCTTAATAGTACACGACACAGACCTTTGCTTGGACTATTATCCTAATCCAATCTGGTCATGCAGAATCTGACCCCAGCCCTGCTGTCTTGGCCAAGTCAGATGTAACTACTCCATGAAAAAGAGTTTCAGATATTAAGTGTCTTATTTAGCCTACGTAAAATTAAAACCCACCCCTTGAAATTATAGTACTTACGGTAAGCAAGCTAGAGGAACTCAGCGTATTCACCCAGTATTTATTCCATAAAAGCTCAAGCAATTTGCGATCCAAGGAGGACTTGAAATATGATACTTCTAAGGCATAATATCTATGAAACAAAAGCACAAATTTAGTAAGTAAAAAAATTCAACCATCTATATCTATATCTATCTATCTATCTATCTATCTATCTATCTTTCTATCTATCTATCTACATAAACGCCTAAACCGGCTGACCATACAGTTGCTATGATGCACACTGACACCTGGGGGCAGACCCTCAATGCAGGAGCAGAAAACACAGGCATGGAAACATGGGACAGACTGATGAATCTCAGACTGAAGTGAGCCTCATAGACAAAAGGAAGAATGTTCCAGGCAGAGGACACAGCAAGGGCCAAGGCCCTAGGGCAGGAGCCTGCCTGGCATGTCTGACACACCATAAGGAGGCTACTCTTCCTGTTCTGGATAGAGCAAAGGTTCAGCGGGAGATGAGCTCAGAGAGGTTACAGGGGTCAGACCACACAGGTTGTGAGTGCCATGGTGAGGAATGTGGATTGTATTCTTGGTGAGAAGGGAAGTCATTCTGAGGAGGAGGAACATGATTTTCACTTGGATTTTAACAGAATTAGTTGGGTAGTGAAGGGCAGAAGGATGAAGACTAGTGAGGCCAGTGCTTTGGTTCAGGCTCCAGATAGCTTGGGGCAAGATGACAGCAGGAGAGGTGGCAAGATACATTTAGAAGGTGGATAAAACTGTCCTCCGTTTCTTGAACACTTCTGAAATTGAGATGTAACTCACATACCGTAAAATTCACTTTTTTTAAAAAAAAATTTTTATTGATTTTTTACAGAGTGGAAGGGAGAGGGATACAGAGCTAGAAACATCGATGAGAGAGAAACATCGACCAGCTGCCTCCTGCACACCCCCTACCGGGGATGTGCCCGCAACCAATGTACATGCCCTTGACCGGAATCGAATCTGGGACCTTTCAGTCGGCAGACCGACGCTCTATCCACTGAGCCAAGCCGGTTTTGGCAAGATTCACTGTTTTAAAGAAGCATACAATTCATTGGTTTTTAGTATGGCTACATTAACTTTTGGAGTGAAATGTAGAAGAATTTTTGCTAGATGGAACCTGAGTACTTTGAGGTTGCAGACAGGCTAGTGTCAGCTTGGTCCTGAATATAACTTCTTTTAACAGACCAAGTATCTTATACACTCATAAAATGTTTATGGTTGTGTGAAAGACAATGTGACTAAAACAATTATTAATAAAAAGTTCAAATATTCTAAATTTGTACATTCTTACTATTATTTTAAAAGATATTATGAAATGCATTTTGTCATCTGTAAGGGGCTTGGACAGTATGATCTCTAAAGTTTCTTATAAGGTCTCTGGCATCAGATGCATCTTTAAATTACTTACTGTTTGCAGTGTACACCAAAGTCTTCTATTTTATTCAGAGGGATAGTCTGGTACTCAGAAGGGCCTTCATCAGGAGGTTTGTATCCCTAAACAAAAATGAAAAAAAGATAAGATAAAAAAGAAAAATAAGCAAACCAGAGGAAAAACATGTTTTTAAAAATATATATATTTTAATGATTTTTTACAGAGAAGAAGAGAGAGGGATTGAGAGCTAGAAACATCGATGAGAGAGAATCATCGATCAGCTGCCTCTTGTACACCCCCTAATGGGGATTTGCCCGCAACCAAGGTACATGCCCTTGACCGGAATCGAACCTGGGACCTTTCAGTCCACAGGCCGACGCTCTATCCACTGAGCCAAACTAGTTTCAGCAGGAAAAACATGTTTTATATGCAGCTTTCTATTTACAGAAACATTAATTTTGGGAAGCCAAATATTGAACATAAACGTTCTAGTAATAAAAATGTGTATTGCTTGTATCCTCCTTCAAACCCATTTGGTGGCTGAAGACTGGATTTGCCTTATAGTATTCTTTTTTTTTTTTTTTTTTTTTTCCTTTAGTGATGTATACTTGTGCTAATATCTATTTTAGATTGCAGGGAGGGAAATAGATGTACTTCACTTGTTTCTCTAGTGCTTGTCAGGATACTGTGGGCATACAAACACTTATTAACAAATGAAGACTGCCTTGCTAATAAAATTAACTATATAAGCCGAAACCGGTTTGGCTCAGCGGTAGAGCGTCGGCCTGCGGACTGAAAGGTCCCAGGTTCTATTCCGGCCAAGGGCATGTACCTTGGTTGTGGGCACATCCCCAGTAGGGGGTGTGCAAGAGGCAGCTGGTCGATGTTTCTCTCTCATCGACATTTCTAACACTCTATCTCTCTCCCTTCCTCTCTGTAAAAAATCAATAAAATGTATTTTAAAAAAATTAACTATATAAAGCACAAATGTATTATCTTCTGTTAAGGACAATTAGAAGTCCAATGCGCTATCCACTGCGCGACAGAGCCCGCTCTGTTAAGGACAATCAGTGCTAAGGACAAGTTGACTGCTATTTTGTAAATATTAAATTGTTTTAGGACAAAACTAGATACTAACCATAACTTTAAAAATAATTCAAATATTCGGAATTTAAAAAGTTATACCGACTTATAATTTTAAAAATTACCTTTGGGTATGTCCTAAAGGCTCCAAGATTAACTTTCCCTGCAGATATTGTTCTTGTTGGATCAATCTACAAAAAGGATGTATTTAGTTATCTGCCAATTATAAAAGCATTATATACTTCCATTTGTTTAAACACTATAAACCTAGAAATATATATCTACATAAAACACTATACAAACACACACTAATTAAAATAATCAAATAACAGGAAAAAAAAATCACAAACTAAAAATCCATTGAACATAAAAGTTCAATGAAGTAGTAAGTATAGAAATGTCTCATAGTTAATGAAGAAATTAGATATAATTAGTATATTATTTAAGAATATTATTTGAAGATTTGCTTCTTTTTCAAGAATATTTTTTTCTTTTAGATGAATTTCTGCCAGCCTGTATTGCATCTAGAATGCTAAACAGCAAGAGCTATTCTAGCAATTCCTAATGTACTCAATTCAATCAACAAAGGTGCTGGGATCACCCTCATCTTACTGAGTGGAGGAAGGGACACAGAGAGATAAAGTAACTTGTTCAAGGTCCCAGTTTCTTAGCGGTAGAATTCAGATTCAAACCTAGGCAGATTGACACCAGAAACTTGTCAATCTGCCTAGGTTTGTAGTGTAGTGTAGAGCACTATGTAGTGTACTGCTCTGACTACACTAGTTTTATTTCTCGGTGCGCTTGTGTTAGTAATCTTTGTGAGGAACTTAATTAAAACACTTACCACCACTGCTACGAATGGCTCCTGGAACTGCTGATTGAGCATCTGAGTGCTAACGTCAATCCCAGAAAGCCAGCAGCCGTAGCCAGGGTGGCTATGATACCAGCCAATTGCATTTTCAAGGCGCCCAACCTAACAAATGAAGAGGGCAAGGGAGCTTGAGGGTCCTGTTTGATCTTAACAAAACTTATTTGTCTGTTTACACAGCATTATAGTAAAATAATAATGTGCAGATTAGTTCATAGAATATGCTGCTTTCAGGTAAAACAAAAAAAAAAGATGTTTTGAATAGATAATATATACCAAAGCAAAAAATTAATAAGATACAAAGGTTACTCAGTCTTTTTCCTACCTCCTTCCCCTCAACTATCCAGTTTCTCATCCCAGATGTTGCCACTATACCCAGCTGCTTACATACCTATCTTCCTGAGATATTCTTTGAATATATGTAGGTTAACAGAAACAAACACGATAGCATATACCACATATAGTGTTTTACACTTTGCTTTTGCACTTAAAATATTCTGAGGTTTGTTTCATATCAGTAAATATATAACTACTGTTTTGTTTTTATTTTTTTTAAATGCTGGTTAGCAGTTCATTGTATGACTATACCATAATTTATTTAATCAGTTCTCTACTCAGTAACATTTAGGTTATTACTAAGGCTTTTGTTTTAAACACACATCTGATAATGAGTGTGAGAATTAAAATTTTTTTCTATTGAGATATAACTGACATATAACACTATATTAGTTCAGATGTACATCGTACCGATGTATGTACTACAAAATGATCACAATAAGTGTTAATTAACAGCCATCACCACACATAGTTACAGTTTTTTTTCTTGTGATAAGAAACTTTAAGATCAACTTTAAGGTCTACTCTCTCGAGTGTGAGAATTTATTTTTTAAAAATTAATGCTCATCTCACATATATTTTATATAGAAATTGTTGAAAATAACTTAAAATATAAACTTTAACGAGGGCAGCTGTAAGTTCAGAAAGCTGAAAGTCACCATGAGCCTCTCTAACTTGCAGTAACTGCACGTGAAGGAACAACATTTTTTACCTGCTTGGCATTTTCTATGTATGCGGCCATGTACTCGTACGCAGCAGCCTGAGCATTGACTCGTGTTTCGGTGCCCTCTACAGGCAAAGCAAAACTGTCCATAATGATCATCGTTTCCCCATCCACCTTCCCCAGCATCAAGCCCATCACTTCCAGGTTGCCTCCGGATCTGGCATGCATCACCATTTTCAGTAGAGCCAACGCTGAGATTTTGCAGTACTTAAAGTAATGGTGACTGCAAAACAAAAGCATGGTGTAATTAACTTTCTTACATCAAGTACAATGTCAAAAGAGTTTGTTTGGAGATAATGAGTATTGAAAAAATTTACAGTGATGGAAGGGGGAAAAAGTGTAAAATGTGGGAAAGAAGAAGTAGAAAAGGACAGAGTTTTTCTACAGGGGGATGGAAATGATAAACATGTCACAGTCTGGCCCAAATATTTCCCCATGGGGCAAGGGAAGAGCATGAAATAGTGTTTTAGAATACATTACTCAAACAGAAAAGAGGTAAAAGTAACTACATGACCAGTTCAAAAGACCTTTTCCCCATTAATTTTGGAATCAATAAATCTGACTGTGATTCTAGTTGGATGGTTATGCCTAACTGTTCTCAGGCCTAACCTCTGGCCTCGTGGTTAAGAATGTGGGCTCTGACATGTCTACCTGGGTTTGAATCCTGGCACTGCCAAGTTCTAACTAGCCTTGAAACCACTTAATATCTGTGCCTTAGTTTCCTCATTTGTAAACAGCGGTATTTCATAGAGTTGTTAGGAGGAAATAAACTAAATGAAATAATGTATAGCGTCGTTTAGTGCCTTAGTGCCTGTCACATACTAAACTTCCCTCTGTGCTATCAGCCTCAAAATAAAAAATGTAGCTCTAATATCTTGAGTTCTACAATAATCACTATTTCAGACTTTGTCAGCTATGGATTTGACTAAACTACTCTTGAACAAAATTACATTTGCCATCTCACTGATGTAGCCCAAGACAGCTAAGATGAATACAATTTAGGGCCACAATCAGGCAGTGAGGCAAGATGACAGTTCCCAAATATTTAATAGGCTGAATCAACCTAAAACGCTTAGCCCGCTATAGGAGCAGGCAGACCACCAGGCAAACTAGCCAGTCTGTACAGAGTGGTCAGTCAATGGCTCCGAGAAGCCTTTTTAAGATGTCTGCCCTCAGATTTCAATCACAAGTGGGAGACATGGAGACCTTGTCTTGGGAGTCAAGACATGAATTATAATCTGGGCTCCTCCATGTACTGGGAACAAGAAAACACAAGTTCGTGTGCTCCTCTTACATACATTCTAGACCCTTTTTATATATTACCTCATCTAATCTTCATGACACCACCAACAGATCTCATTTCTATTTTAAAGATAAAAAAAAAATGGATAAATCAATTTCCTAGGATCAAATAATTAGTGACAGAGCTGAGATTTGATTTTAAGTCTAGCTATTGCTCACTTTGGAGCTTTTGCCTCTGTGACCATGAAATAAGTCGCTGTATTTGCCTGGGTTGTCATGAGGATTAAATGACATGTGGAGATTTTTTAGCTCAGTGCTCAGCCCATATTAAGGACTCAATAAATGCTGCTGGATTTGGATACTGACAGGTATAGCCTGCCTTGTAAAAAACTGCAAGACAGATGAAATATGGTTTTTGTTGTTGACCACAGCTCTCCTTTTTATCTCTCCATTAGACAGACTGTGCTTTTTCCTTCCTTCCTAACAAATTTTGCTCTCAGGTGAAGAACCCTCAACTTGTCACCATTCCCAGGACATAGGGCTTCGCTCTATCGATATAATATCTAGAGTATTTGAACCGATGGAGTAACAGTAGACTGGGTAGAGTCTCGTGTGTTTCTGGAATAACTAACAGCAATTACAGAACTCTAACAAATGGCTCAGAGCTCCTGGGGCTGGCCGTAGCCTCCAGTCTGGGACCAGGCGAAGGTGCCGACAAGGTGTATATATCGCCATAGGGTTCAAGGTGGAGTGTGTGGCATGTATTCCAATGGGGATGTTGGGAAGTGACACCCCCAAAACCACCATTTGTATTCCTTTTCCATCCTCCAGAGGCGAACACGTTGAAGAAACAGAAAGGGGAGACGAAGAAAGCCCCCGTGGAGGGGCTCAGGCTCTACTTGCGGGTGTAAAAGACCAACATGTTCCAGGTGCACCTCCGTCCTCCTCCCTGCAGGCTCCCCAACCCCCAGCTCTCCCTCCCGCCGGGCCTCCCGCCCTCTCCCTCCTTTCCCTTCCCCTCCCCTGCGTCTCGCCAGGGACCTCCTCACTCCTTAGTCCAGGGCTTGGCCGCCAGGATCTCTTGCTGCTGCTTCTTGTCATATTTGTAGATCTCATCGATGCTCTGGGCTTCCTGCATGTTGTTGGCCAGCTCCCAGGTCTTCTGGGCCATACAGCTGCCGGACGCCGCCATCGCCGCGAGCGCGAGCGGCCGCCGCCTCCTCCGCAGTCACGGCACCGCGACTCCTCCGCCGGGCTCCCCAGGCGCGGGCTCCGGACCCCGCACGACCGCTGCAGAGCCGTCCTAGCCTCTCGGGGCGGCCATGACACCTGGGACCGGAGGTGAGGCTGGAGCAGACCATTCGGGGATGGGGGGGGGGCGGCGCGGGGCGCGGGGATCTAGCCGGCGCTCCCAGAGTAGCCAAGGGGCAGAGGAGCCTTCCCGGGCCCGGGGGAGCACGCGCCAGCTTGGGAAACGATGCGCGGGAGTGAGGGCCAACCGTGGTCGGCTGGGGCTGAGAATGGTACGGCCCGCCGTCCCGCGGTGCCGCGCCGGAAGGAGGGCAGCTGCCCGCTCTGCCCGACTCCGGCTCCGCCTCCTTGGCTCCTACTGCGCATGCTCCGCCCCCGCCTTCCCACCCCCGGCGCAGCCTCCAGCTGGGGTCGTGGGAAGAGAAACTGTATTGTCTTTGTTTTTTAAATAGATATATATATTTTGCCGAAACCGGTCTGGCTCAGTGGATAGAGAGTCGGTCTGCGGACTGAAGGGTCCCAGGCTCGATTCCGGTCAAGGGCATATACCTAGGTTGCGGGCTCATCCCCAGCAGGAGGTGTGCAGGAGGCAGCTGATGGATGGTTCTCTCATTGATGTTTCTAACTATCCCTCTCTCTTCCTCGCTGTACAAAAATCAATTAAAAATATTTTATTGATTTTTTTTTTTTAACAGAGAGGAAGGGAGAGGGATACAGAGCTAGAAAAATCGACCAGCTGCCTCCTGCACACCTCCCGCTGGGGATGTGCCCACAATCCAGGTACATGCCCTTGACCGGAATCGAACCTGGGATCCTTCAATCCGCTGGCCGATCCTCTATCCACTGAGCCAAATCAGTCAGGGCAAAACTGTAGTTTTTATGTATGTGGGGGGTAGGCATCTTACAGGAAGTAAGTTTGCTGCAAGACTGACAGTGAAGGATGTCTGCGGGAAGACGGGCCTGCAAGGAGTCCTGGGTGCGGGCCGGAAGGGAAACGTGGCCTCCTTCCCAACGAACTGGCCGGCGAACCGCTGCCCGGCGGCACGCCCCGGGGCTCGCGGGGGAGCGGCCCACGCGGACGGGCTCACACGTATATGACTTGTTCTCAGAGTCCTTTACAGTTTAATTCTCAGCGTTGCTCCGCAAAACCACCTGTCCCCGAGACCAAATTAATCTCCACAGCAGCCCGTTTTCCTCCGACCGTTCACACACTGTTTCAATGTTTGCTTGTTTTACGTATTCCTCCTCCCCCGCCTCTCCCCGACTCCGCACTAGATTCTGAGTCCGAAATCACAGGCCACTAACTAGGTTTGTGTTCCTTCTTTTATCCCTAACACCGAGATGTTCGAGAAAATTATATATATATAATTTTTTTATTTTTTTGCTGGGGCAGAGGGGGTTGGGGGGAGGAGAATAAGGTCATAGCTCACCTCTCCAGCTTCATCTTTCTTCAGTCACCCTGGAAAGTTTGCATGGATGGTTAACATTGCCTAAAATGCACGCCTCTGCGCTGTCTTTTTAAGACTCCCAGGTAGGAAGCGCCTATGAGTCTTTAAAGACAGCTCAGAGGTCTGTCTGCAGGTGCTGCTGTAACTGCTACACTGCACTGTAATGTTTACTTCGAAGCTTTTCTTCTCACCAGGTTTCAGAGAGCAGGACCCTCCACTCCTAACAGTGTGTGGCATACAGTTCAAGTAAAACCACGGCAGTGGTCCAACTCGCACCCGCCTGCGGCTTTGATAAACTTCAAGTTAAAGAAAATTTGCCTTTAAAACCCTGTTACAAAGTAGGGTAGGATAAAGGACTATTCGTTCTGCTTTTCATCGGGGGGGGGGGGGGGGGAGGAGGGGGGAGAGAGAGAGAGAGAGAGAGAGAGAGAGAGAGAGAGAGAGAGAGAGAGAGAGAGACAGGTGGTGGCATATGGCCACTCAGTATAGGGGTGAACTGAATATATTGAAATTGGTAGTAAAAGCCCAGGACAGCCGATACGGTTGACTCAGTGGATAGAGTGTCTGTCTGCGGCCTGACGTGTTCCAGGTTGGATTCAGGTAAAGGGCATGTACCTTGGTTGCGGGCACATCCCTAGTGGGGGTGTGTGCAGGAGGCAGCTGATCGATGTTTCTCATCTATCCCTCTCCCTTCCTCTGTTAAAAACAAAACAAAACAAAACAAACAAAAAAAACAGGACAAAACGTCCACCAAACTCCAGGGAGCAGAATAATTAATGCCCTGGAGAAGTATGTGAACCGTTTTCCTCTCACTGCCACCCCTCTCCTTTTCCTTACCAGGCTCTGCTGACTCTGTTCCCAGGCCAGCTGGGACCGGGAGGGTTTGGAGGGGCTGCAATCGGTTCGGCCTGGGCAATGGCTCCCGCCGTTGAACAGCCCGCAGGCGCGGGAGAGAACCTGCGGGCCGCCGGGCTGCTGTGCGGCCTCCGGGCCGGTGGGGGGCGCCCGCGGCCGCGCGCCTTTATCCCGTGTCCCCGGGGGGGCGGGGCCGCGCCGGGCGGTTGGCCAAAGGCGGGCGGAGGGCTCGCTGCGGGAGGCGGAGCCCGCGACCGGCGGTCCCCGCTGCCTCCTCCGATCGCGGAGGTCCTCGCCGGAGCGCCGAGCGTCTGTCTCCGCGGGCGCGACCCCGCTCTCCCGGGTGAGCCGGCCTCGGGCTGGGGACGGGCCTGCGGGGGCTGGCGGGAGGGGGTGCCCCAGGACCGAGCTCCCGGGGCCGAGGTCTCGCGGTTGCCAGGCTGGCGGCGGTGTCGGGGTGACGGGGGTTGGAGGGCCGGGCCCCCTGCGGGGATGGGTGGAGTGGGGGTTAGAAGGGGGGTAAGTCTCGCGGCCACCAGGCTAGGGCCGGTAAGGCGAGTTGTGGGTTCGGGGTCTCGCCGCAGGGCCGGGTGAGTGCCTGGCTCCCGGGTGGGGGGTTCCCTGGGAGTGGGGGTCCCCGTGGGAGGGGAGCAGGGGCGGGTCCCTGGGTTCGCGGTCCGGCTCGCGGGGCCGCCGCTGGCGCCCGCGGTGCCTTGGAGACCCGGTTGCCTGACAACGCGATGATGCTTCCCGGGCGGCCGCCACCCACGGCGCTGGGGCCGGGCTGAGCCTTCGCGCCGGGCGCCCTCCGTGCCCGCCGGCCGGGCCCGCCGTCCCGCGAAGCCTGCCCCCTGCCTCCTTCCCCGGGGCTGGTTAACGGTTAAAGGCGCTGTTCCCAGAGCTTTGCTTTCTTTGCAAGTGAAATGTACCCACCGCCCTGGGAGGTCGGCGCTGGTATGGTCCCGGATCCACCTGGCTCCTTGACCTTGAACCTCTTCCAGCTGCCTTGATTTTAGGGTGGTTTTCTGGAAGTTGAATCCACTTTTCAGGGATAGCCATGGGACGAGAGAGAGAGAGAGAGAGAGAGAGAGAGAGAGAGAGAGAGAGAGAGAGAGAGAGAGAGAGAGAGAGAGAGAGAGAGAGAGAGAGAGAGGCAGGCTGGTTCTCAAAATGACAGGGTTAAGAAGTCTAGCTTGGACTTCGGAGACGAAGACTGAATTCTAAAATACAACACCTAGTTTACCTAAGTTTGCAAACACCTCGGAGTGTAAGAGCCGAATAGCTAGCTCCACGCGTTTGTAAAAAAGAGTTATCCTCAGAGAGGTCCTGTTTTAAATGAAAGGCTGGCTTGTCCTGTTGAATCCCATGGAAACCAGTAAGACGCTGCCATTTTTCCTTGCATAAAATTCTCCTTAGAAGGGCGCTGACTTTCTGGTGGTTAAATATTTGCCAAAATGCCCCCCAGGGATGAAATCTTGGGTTTCCAGGTGACCTGGAAGGAGCAGGTGCTGTTTGGGGGAAACAAACTTTCAGCACAGTTTTTCTCAGGTGAAGTTGTCAGACAAACGTGATTTAACTTTTATAAACTTTGGGAACATTTTGGCTTAACCTTTTTAATATCATTCTGGCTGCTTTCCTGAGTGTGAGACCCGAGGTGTTTGACCAAGTGTTTTGGCAATTTTGCATTACCCAAAGCCCATCTAATTTATGTATCTGTCCTTGGTCATCATTAATGATTTATTATTAACAGCAGCTAACAAACCTAATATTGCTTTTATATAGAGGCAAACCTTGGAGATACTGTGGGCGGTTCCAGACACAGCTAGGCCTAATCTTTTTTGCAGGTGGAAGGTCTTGCCTTTAATTTGTAAAAAACGCAACACCTGTGAAGTGCAGTAAAGTGAAACACAACACAGCCAGGTTTGCCTGTGTTCACTCTTTGCATCCTGATCGCCCTTTGTCCCAGCAACATGGTGTTTACTTCTTGTAACATTGAGGGGGATTTGTCAGAATTAGGGTGTGCCCATGAAAGTAAGCTGTGCATCTGCCAGGAGAAAGAGATTCGCCTTTCATTTGGTGAAAAGATCTCCGGATTGGGAGAAACACTGTCTTCGATCACCTTCTCCCTCCCCCTCTTCCTTCTGAGGCTTTCATAGATTCCTCCCTACACCCCACACCCCACACCCATATGTTCTCACCCCCTGCTATTCTGTTCTCAGTCCTGTTCTCCTACACTAGGCTCTCTTTTTCCAGGCACTCTCTTATATAGTTTTTTTTTCTTCTATAGTTTTAATGGTTATTTTAAAAAGTGTACATCTTCTAGCCTGGGCTCTATTCTGAATTCCAGACATATTCAAATCCTTTCCTTGATACATCCTCTGGATCTCTTATGGGTCCTCAGGTTGAATCCCTAAACTCTCTTCTGGCTAGTCTGTGATCCCCGGTGACAGGAGGCATTTTATCTTGTCCACATTGGAGACAAGGGTCGTATCTTGTGCTTCATTTCCTGGCATCTAGAACCTTAAGGCCTCCTTTGGGAGGGACATTATTTTCCGCTTCTCATGCTGCCTTAGAGGGACAAGGATGGGAAGAACATTTTCCTCTTTCTTTATGATTGATGAAACCGGAAGGAGGAATTGGGCATGCTCAGTTTTTTCTGGATCCTCTCTGTTTGCCTAAATTTAGCAGATTGAATATGTTCTGATTTGTCTGTATTTCTACCTATATGATAAGCATAAAGTGTCCAAATTTACATTTATAGATGTTGATTTGGATTATGATAACAAGTATCAGTTATTGATGATTTAAATATCAGTGCTCTTTTAGACTTTTAAAATAAAGGCATACTTTTAACCTCATTCTGGCTGCTTTCC